ATATATATATATATATATATATATATATATATATATATATATATATATATATATATATATATATATATATATATATATATATATATATATATATATATATATATATATATATATATATATATATATATATATATATATATATATATATATATATATATATATATATATATATATATATATATATATATATATATATATATATATATATATATATATATATATATATATATATATATATATATATATATATATATATATATATATATATATATATATATATATATATATATATATATATATATATATATATATATATATATATATATATATATATATATATATATATATATATATATATATATATATATATATATATATATATATATATATATATATATATATATATATATATATATATATATATATATATATATATTTCATATTATTCAACCTTCTTTTAGGTGTCAAAACCACTGTTTTTGCCTTGTCGCACACCCAGAGTTTTAACTACAACAATGAAAGATAATTTAGAAAGATTTTAAAAGATAATTTTTCTGGAAACTTTTAATGTATCTTAATGAAGCACTAGTAAATAATTTAAATATTTTATAGTTATTAATATGAGACTATTATCAATATTATTCTTTATTCAAAATAGCTGTCACAGTGTCATTTTTTACCACAACACTGTAATGTCGTTTAAAAAAGTTTACGTGAAAGATTATTTAGGTGGTTTCTATGAAAATGAATAGTGCCATCTGTGAACATGTTCAAGATGGAAGGATTTAAAATTTTCATCAACAAACACATGATGAAAATTAAGGTAAATATTGCTTGATAAAGAAATACATATATTTTACATCATTTCCAAACATGTTGTACCTTCATAGGTGTTTTTAAGAACCAAACAAAATTAAGGTAAATAAGAGTATTTTGTACACAGATCAGCTTCTAATTGATACTAGCATTTCATGTAAAGCTATATCCTTACATTTTTCACAAAAAAAAAAAAAAAAAAAAAAAACTGTAGAAATGTAATTTCCAGCAAGCTGCCCCCTGTGGTGGAAATGACAGCATGTGGTGGAAATCACATTTATGGTTTCAAAACAAAATTGATATGGATTGTGAAAGTACAGGGGTTGGACAATGAATCTAAAACACTGGCCAATTTAGTGTTGGAGGTTTCATGGCTAAATTTGAGCAGCTGGTGGCCAGTCTTTGATTGCACATTCCACCAGTAAGAGCAGAGTGTGAAGGTTTAATTAGCAGATTAACAGCAGTTTTGCTTAAAATATTGCAACATACAAAACATTATGTTATATGTTGACACAGAGTTCAAAAGAGGATAAATTGTTGGTGTGTGTCTCGCTGGCACATCTGTGACTAAGACAGCAATCTTTGTAATCTAATAGTCTTCATAATCTAAGAGTCACGGTATCCTCCTGAGTAAAGTCAGCAAACCACCAAGAAGGAGAACTATGGAACAAAATCAATGCCTAAAGTCTTGAATTAAAAAGCTTGTTGAATATCACAAACTGAAAAAAATAATACACCGTATTAACAAGTTCTTGCATTTTAATGACTTGAATTCCAGGGTTTGTATTTTTAGGTCCTGAAATTTAACATATCTGTTTATTTAAGCTTTGAATATTTCAACGAAAAATATTTCAAACACGTTTTCATACTTAAAAATTCAATAATTCATATTCAATTTTCAGATTTCACTTACGAAATATTCAATACCCTTTAAAAATACGATGTATAATATTCAAATGGTAATTTTCAGTTCATTTTATTTCAGTTCAAATATTCGCTTCCATAAATTCAGTGGATCAAATTCGACTGTTAAAATTCAACATTACATCCGGGAACTGCAGGAGAAGCAATAGATTGCAGATTGAAGATCGCCAGCTGCTCTAGCTTTCACCAGCAGGTGGAGATGGAATAATGTAAGATTTTTAACCCAGTAAACAAGCGAGAAAAAGGCTATTAAAGGCAAAAAAGTAGCATTCCATTTTAATATCAATGCCTTGGACATTATAAATAATAAAAAGTATGAGTAAAATGAGTACATGAGGTTTTAGTCATCTATATTTGCCCTTATGTAATGGAAGCCAGCTGGTGATCGCGTAAAGCTCACCCCTCGGATCCAGGGACAGACGTTGTTCTGCAATCTTATCGGAGCTTGTCTTATCGGAGACACGGTTAAACGTTTGCAAAATGTCTTAGTTTGTCCAGAATATTGCTTTTCCTCTAAAATAGAGACGAAGCAGAAGGAAAATGAATGAATTGATGAATGAATGAAATGATTGACGTTTTTTTGCATGTGCGGTGTGGCTTGCACACGACAAAGTCGAACGAGTGGCCGCGAGCTCCGGTGGCCGGTCAGAGCGCCGCATATCAAACTTAAGAGATGCTGGATGGCTGCCAGTATATGATAGGAATTCTTCCAAAGTTTCAGATGATATCTGGGCTTGTGCATAATAATGTAAAATAAAAGTGAAAGTCATGACATTTGGCCAAGCATAAGAATAATAGCCTACAAGAGTGTTTCGATTATTATCATGACATGTCATGCTTGGGATTATATGAATAACACCTCGCTGTTTACCATTTCTGAAAGTGGAGCTGACGTCGGCGCGAAATAGCTTGTATA